TTCTTCTTCTCTCTCTCTCTCTCTCTCTCTCTCCGAATTACGAGTTACGTTTCCTCGAGACGATTGCTTCGTGCTCGTGCATTTGCAACGTTTATCGACTCGAGCGTTTTACGAGTCGAGCAGAAGCTGATCGAAAGTACCGTTCACTGGTGCAAAAGAAGGCTCGCGAAATGGTTTTATCTCCACCTCAGACGCTTCGTATAATAATCCTGTGACCCGGAGTTAATGAAAAAGTAACTAGTTAAAAATTTCTAGAATAAACTCGTTTTAAGTGAAATTATTAAAATGCTCGAATAATAATTTGTATAATTTTGGTATCGCGGATTATCTCCGACTATTTGTTATACTTTGAACAATAAATTCATCGAAGTAACTTATGGAAAGTAACTTTCAACGATTAAATTTTCCCTAAAATCAATAGTAGAGGGGCTATGAAGTAATCGTAAAAATTATTTTCATCTAAAAAGTTAGGATGACCGTCTAAGATTGAAATATTTTCGAAATATCTCGTTCGATTATAATGTCGATACGTCTATAGTGTGTCTACCTTATCCGTATGCGTACAATTATTATCTTAATGTTCGAATATGAAATTACGTAATTAGTCTAAACGTATTAAGCGAGGAATAAATTAGAATTCTCCGCTTACGCATCGAAATTGTTATTAGATCGTCGTGTTGGATTAGTGTACGTGACAGAAAAGCGTCTCCTTCCGCGAGACTTGTTTCCACCAATAAAGAACGGTCTCATCTCGCGCTTTATCGTGGTTCGAGCACAATTCGAGCGGATTCTCTGAAAAGTTCAGAATTTTTATTCCAAAAAAAAAAAGAAAAATATCGTCGGTTCGTTTTATAACGACTACTCGTCGCGAGTTTACGAGCTGCTACAATTTCAGTCGATTTTTCAACCGGCGACCGCCCATCGAATCGCAGACAACAAGAGTGATATTCCCTCGGCGGAGACGTTGCGATTGCTTTTAGTTTCTTCGGTTTACAATAAATTCCCCGTGTTTTTCCATCGTTTCTTTCCGCGACGATTAATCGATGATCCTCCTCTCCGTTTTTTGAATTTTTGGATCGACGTTACAACAGGAGACGACACGATTATATATTGCGAAGATGATCCAACTTTGACTCCTTTTTTCCTCTTTTACGATAATTCGTCAAACTAGAATAAAATAAGGAACAAAACAAAAAGAAAAGAAAAGAAATGATTCTCGGTTAAAGCGAAAGAGGACAGTTCGAGCGGGTTAATTCATCGAACGAGGGGAGCCGCGGCTTGCTACCTTTGTGATGGAAAATTAATCAAGCATATTTATCCGGCGGAAGTGGCTCGAATTGGGAACAAAGTGGGCTACTTTGGCCGGGGGTATATATAATACAGAGCATCATCCCTCGTTACACGAAAATACGAAAAACGTAAACGCGAAAATACGGAAGCGCGCGGTCAGAGGAGGCGTGTTCACCGAATTTCCGGGCAGGCAGCGATGGAACATCAAACGCGACGAGAGGAGAGAAGAGAGGAGATACGCGGAATATTTTAATTACACCGGGCGAGCGGAGGTAATTAACCATGGTTTCGTTTAAAAGTGGCCAACGTCAAATTTACACGGGTTAATCGGTGTTTGTTCCCGAAACTTGTCAAGAAATATCAAAATAAACCCGAATGAATTCCCGATGACGGTCAACTTCTCCTTCCATCCGAAGCAATTGACGATTCGATCGATCGACGTTTAAAAAAACATTTTCCTCGAAAATTATTGTAAAATTCAAAGATCCATTAACTCTCGTTCCATTAACGCGTATATAGATAATAAGGGAGGGGGGAGGAGGATTAATAACAACGATGCAGAGAATAGATCGGAAGAAATTGTAAGTACGAGATGAGCAGGTAGATTATTATTCCTCGAAATCAATTAAACTGCGCTTTCTAACGGGTAACGATATTAAGCAAAACTCGCTACCAGGATTCATTAACGCTCGATTCGTTCGCGCAATTCTACCTTCCTATCAATTAATATTACCGATATCGCGATATACGAGGGGGTTGAGGAGGGTTATAACTATATATAATTATATCCTCGCGTTTCTGGCTCGCAATAATTGTAAACGAATTAATCGAACAGGAATCATCAGGTTTGTCGTTTTCCCTTCGTGGCGACGAGGAAGAGGAGGAATTTCTCCCTGTGCGCGATAACGCGTCCACGGGGTATTCAGTCAACCTCGTCGAGGGTGGTTCGAGACGCGTTCGTCCTTTTGTTCGGGTCCTTGGCATTGTCTACGGATCCGGTCTAACCACTACGAATCTCGGAAATCCCGCGCAGCTTTCCACCCCTGCTCCCTCCACACGAATGGTAAACACGCACGAACGGCGCAACGAGGCACGGTTAAATATTTACACGCGCTGAATGCGGGGCTCGAATGGCAGGGCATTCGATCTTTTCGAATAAGTCCGCGCCGCTCCCTCGTTCGGGAAATGGAAATTTTGGAAGACGATGGATCGATTGTGTTTGTCGAGCATAGGTCTATCCTTTACCGAGTTAAGGAGGGTTAGTTTAGTAGAAATTTGAGCGATTGATCGGAATCAAGAGGAAAATCGATCGAAATCGACGGTTAACGCCGCTTTGATGCAATTCAAATTAGCAGGGATAAAAAACTTTTAGCGAAGAACCTTTTCTCCGAATATTTTTTTTCTTTACACTCGTCAAACTTGTCGAAAAATATTCATCTCGAGTTCGATCCAATCATTTTTCCTTCGCTTCGCTTCGCTTTACTTTCCGCTATTCGGATCCGCCATCGCGAACGAAGAAACGTGTACAAACTCTCTATTATTTAACAGAATTATAGCGGAAGAATTGAAATCTTGGAAATATCTCGAGAGAATGAACGCTCGAGAGAGAGGGAAAAAGTTGGAGAGGAGGCGGTCGATCTTGGATGCTCGAAGGGTGACGTATCGTCGAACGGCCGGCTTATGGACCTCTCGATTCCAGTTCGAGTCGAAATGAAATATGCAGGCGGATCGCTTGCCGTGGCTACCTGGGACGATCGTCGGCCCATTTGTGTCCGTCGACCGGAAGCCACCGGTGCATTATTAATGCGCGGGCCCTCTCTCTCCGCCGCGGAAGCTGCACGTGACACGTACAAATGTCCGCAGTCGCGTCATTAGTCCCGAGTACACCGGATATGCCGGCTGACTTTTCTCCGCAAACATCCTCCTCCCAAAACGCCGCTTCTTCGGCGTTTTTTCCCCCCCTCCTTTGAGAGATCACCATTCGCATTGAATCGAGAGATCTTACGAAGATTTTTACGAAGATCGACGAGGAGAGGGATGTATCGAGCGATAAATAAGGCTCGAACGGAGTTAAAAAATCTGGGAAAGGCGTAAGGAAAAATTGGTGGAACGTGAAATTACGTTGGTTGGAGTTGATCGAGGAAGAGGGATCGAATAGACGGATGCTTTTGAGGGATAGGAGAGAAGAGTCGTTGAAAGACACTCGCTGGACTTTTGATCTTTCCCACGGTCAATTAGAGGCTTCAAACGGGGTTCCGTTTCATTCTGCGATTCATTCGGTGCGATTGAAACGAGAACCCGTCTAACTTACGTACGAAATTGTACGTAAATGAATACGCGCAATGAACGTAAAGTGAAGTCAGAGGTAAGAAATTATTAACCAAAAGAATGTGAACGACAAGAAATGTATTAACAGCGTGGTGAAATATTGTTCGAATATAATGTTCGTTACGTTACATATCGCGTGCAAGAGATAGAATTTTTCGATGATCGATGCGCTAATGCACGCTAATCCGAGAGGAGCTGATTAGGATATTATATTAAGCGAATGGGATAATTATATACGTCGTAATCACGTAGTCACGACGGCGTGTCGCGTATACATATATTCGTGGCGTTAGCAATTAGGAATATAATGGACGATGGAATAATGGAGGATACGATTAATCGGTAAGATTGGATCGAGATAATAGAATCGAGAAAGTAGAAATGTTTGGGGGGAGGAGACGTTTACTATTGCCAATAGGGAATCGAGATGTTATCTCGGATTTGATGGAAAGGGGCCGCATGTAGATGATCCCGATCTTTACTTTAATCTTTGCCATTCAATCAAGGTCGGCGGGAAGAAAGATTGAACGTAACGAGCGGTTACTTTTCCAACTTTTCCCCCCCTCGGGAGGAACTCGCTCGGTTTGGAAAAACTTGCTCGTCCGTATTTATGACTTACGGGCTAAGGGGGACATTGCCGCGCACAGGGATATATATTTCTCCTTTCACCCTCCTTATTTTTCACCGATCGGTGGCCCATCGAGGAAAGAAAAGAAACGCGAGTGGAGATCGAGAATTATTCGCTTTGCGAATGCTCCTCCACTTTTTCTCGAAATCAATAAAAACTTATCGACTTGGATGCGCTCCTCGATTTATAGAACTTTCTCGGGATCGAACCGATTGTATTTTTGGTTTTTTTTTTTTCTTTTTCCTCTTTCCTTTTTCTTCTTCGTCCCTCGACAGACGGAAGATTTTTCGGCCACGTCGTTTGTCTTCGTTATACGTTGATTCGAAATCTGTGGATACTAAAGGTACGTGACCCGCGCTTCGCGATCTTTCTTCGAATCATTCGTTATTTCACAATGCAGGAAGAAAATTTTTGTAAAGGAAAAATGCGCGAGAAAGAAGAGATCTCGATCCCCCTCGACTTTATCCCCTCCTAGGCGATTCCTAATTTTTTCCCTTGGTCCAGGCTTCTTGTAACACGCGTTTTATATCGTCGTTCAAAAATTCGTGACAAGAATACACCTCATAAATATACCGCGTTTTATGACACCTATTTCTTTTCTTATTTCACGGACACGGATTTCTCTCGCGCGCGGGAAAACAAATTTATGATACAAAATATCTTTTTCTTTTTTTCCTTAAAGAAGAGCCACGCGCGAAAGATTCGTCCTCCTTTCATTTCTCTTGGGCAAATTTTTCGAATTAAAATCGAACTCTTTGATCGAATCTCTCGACGTAGTAATCCTATTTGACACGAACCGAAGCAAGTACCTAATACTTGCAATCAATTTGGAGCCGCGTCAAAGTCATCGAAAGAATCTTAAAAATCCCTTTATCCTTTTCGCCTCGATGCAAAACTCCTTGGCAACTCTCGACGGAGGATGAAGAGTGGATCGACGAAATGATTTATCGATCCGATCGTCTTGTTCCCGTCCTCGAACGAATCCCGTCCCCTTCTCCTCTTCGTTTTGGCAAAAGGCAAGCGTCCGCTTTAGCCCTCTTCCGCAAACTTTTCCTCATCCCTACCGGCCGATGTCTTTGTCTCGTTCGTCTCGAGAGAAAGAGGGAGGAGGACACAGGCCGGAAGAAACGTTCCTCGATCGTGATTCGATTACCGAAATCAAATTCGCGAATTATCATTTGGCAACGGCCTCGAATTAATTTTCTTTTTTTTTTCTTTTCCTCGTAAGAAGAAGAAGAAGAAGAAGAAAACTGGAATCTCGATTTTTTTCTCCCTTTGACTTTCGTGAACAACTTGGACATTTTCGGCCGATCGATCGGCGGCGCGGCGTCGAGAATCAGAGGATTGTTCCGTTTCGAGATTAATATTTCTCGGTGGAACGAGGGGACGAGGGAGAAAGGGGTAGAAGCGGCAGGATCAAGGAGAACGAGTTCTCTCGAATAGAGACGAAGCGCGCTCTCCTCCCGGTACATTAATTTTCATCGTAGCAGAAGTTTGCGCGCGTTTTTTACAATCACACACACTCTCCTCTACCCCCCTCCCTCCCATCCTTTACAATTCCCGCGACGTCCCCCGAAAGAATAATTTCCCCCCCGTTTCCTCCCAAAACTCTCATTTGACGGGATGAAACGTCGAATTTTTTCGCCCTTTGCACCTCCCCCCTTCTGTTCCGCGAAAACAAAATGGCGAGTCGAGATGTCCCCTTCGTCTCTCTTCCTCCTCTCTCCGTTCGCGAAATCTCTTTACGAGTTCTTTACGAGGCTTGCTCGCTCCATTTACCGGCACCGGGAAACAAGTCCCGATTCTCTCCCCCTTCGAACGACCCGATAAAACCTCGCGAATTACTATTTTCTCGACCGGTATCGACCAGCCGCGGTTTATAAACATTTTTTATTCCCTTTATCCCGCCTCGAGATTTTTATATCGAAGCTCGCACAGACGGATATTGCACGGAAGGATATTGCTTCCCCGATCGCGGAACGAATCGCTTTTTCCTTTCTCCTCTCTTCTTTCTTGTTCCCTCAAAAAATGTTCCAAGATTTTTTTCAATCGGACGACACGGAGAGCCGAGGACGATTCGATCGACGGCGATTGCTCTAATTTCGAACGTGTTTAGTCCCTTCCTGAGCGGGGAAGGGTTGGCTCGAATCGGGTGGACGTGGTTCGCCGCCGGTAATTTTGGATGAGGTACGGCCGCCACGGGAAATCTGGCGACGAGTGACGCCTCGTGTCCCCGTGGAAACGTCGCAAATATCCTGTCCTCATCATCATCGTCCGCGCCTCTTCCACTCCACCCGCTCGTGTATCGTCACGTTCGCGACTTCTCTCGAGAAACTTTGCCTTTCGAGGGGGAGGGGGGGGGGGAGGAAAAAAAGTTGGCCAAATTTTCCGAGCAAAAAGATTTACTTCCTTCACGAATATTCGTCCTATATACGTAAGATAAAAGATCGCGAAATTGCAAGAGGAATAACAGCAACAACGAGGAGGAAGTTTGATTGAAAGAAGGGCTGTATCAATTCTCGATACGAGGAGTAGACTGGAAGTTGTGCAACAATCCCTCTAAGCCTTAATATCTGAACAATGCGGAATATTATATCCGACAACGAGGACGCTTTATCCTTCCATGGAGGTGGGAGGTTGTTCACGTGTCGTCTTCGGGGGTTGCGCTTAACAATTCCGTTCGTTGCTCCCCACATGCCTGCCCGTATTACCGCCATATTACCGCGCTATCATAACCAGCTGCCCGAATTGAACCCGGCGTTCCAACCCCTCCCTGCATCGTCCCCTTTATTTTCTCCAATTTTTTTTTTTTTTACTCTTCCTCCCTTTTTTCCTTCTCCTTTTCCGGAGGGGAAAAACACTCGAAAAAAGGAGCAGAGGAAGGGAAGTCGAGCTTCTTCCGGCCATGCGTGACGGAATTGCAAATTTCGTTTTTTCATTCTTATCTATCCCATTTATTATTATCTATTGCACGGGAAACGAACGGGTAGAAGGAAGAAGGTTATCGTTATTAAATTTGACAGGGTTTATCGAGTTTCTCGAGGAAGAAGAATTCTTCCTGTTGAGAGCTGTATAATGATGAAATGACGATGGAACGAATTCTAATGAAAATTCTCGATAGGAGGAAAGGAAAAGATATCATAATTGTTGTTGTCGAGTTAAATTTGATAAGAATCATCGAATTCCAATCAAGAATTCTTTCTGTTGCGAGTTATATAATTATGGAACGCGGGTGATTCTTAAAAGTTCTTGATTGGAGGAAAGAAAGGTATCGTTATCATTATCAAGATAAATTTGATAAGGATCGTCGAATTTTAAAAGAATTCTTCCTGTTGAGGGAACATATGCAATAGAGGGAAGGAAAGGTGTCATTATCTTTATCAAGATAAATTTGATAAGGATCATTAATTTTCAGAAGAATTCTTCCTGTTGCGAGGTATGCAATTATGAAATGACGAATGGAACGCGGGCGATTCTTGAAAGTTCTCGAGAAACGAACGACAAAAAAAAAAGAGAAGATATCATTGTCATTATCAAGATAAATTTGATAGGGTTTGATAGCTATATAATGATGAAATGACGATGGAACGCAGGTGATTCTTATAAAAGTTCTCGATGAGAGGAAGGAAAGTATCATTATCATTATCAAGATAAATTTGATAAGAATCATCGAATTTTAAAGAATTCTTTCTGTTGCGAGCTATACAATGATGAAATGACGATGGAACGCGGGTGATTCGTGAAAGTTTCCAAGAAACGAACGATAGAACAAAAAAAGAAAGGAAGATATCATTATCAGGATAAATTTGATAGGGTTTGATAGCTATATAATGATGAAATGACGATAAAACGCGATTT